TACATTATCCAACGCCCAAGATGATGCCACATCATTGCACTGCTGGCAGCAATAGGTTGTTTTCTGAGAGAACACTGAATTTGACGTTTCTTCAGACCACACTTTCCCGATTTCCAAGGCATGGCCTGGAGCAACGTTTTTCTGGAAAAAATGATGCCAAATAAGAGGCCATTTTCTTAAGCACCACTTTTTCTGACAAGGCACCGATGTGATGAAGTATTTTGAGCAAGAGAAGAGGAGAAATGAGAGAAGAAAAAAGGAGAAGAGAATAAGAAAATGGGGCCACAGTTCACTTCTGTCCAGCCCAGGATAGGATTTAAATGCAACTTAAAACATTAGAAAGAACAGAATTGTCCTTCATTAGGCGGGCTGTACATAAACAGTTTTAAGAGAAGAATAACTTGGGCCCAGTAGGCCCAAAAGGAAATAAGCTGAAATAAGAAATAGCCCAGCCCACACAACATTAAGACTTATAACATTAAGCAAGTTGGGCATTGTTGTTAGGACATCTGTTAGGCTGTTATTATTATCTTTTCTCTGTTAAAATCAGGAATACTACTGTAATTTTCCCTGTTCTTTAAACACCCTAATATATGAGAAAGGATTTAAATACCGATACGATACGTCCGATACGGGGCGTATCGTATCAGTATCGGTTAGTAACGGTATGGGATATGCCACGAATACAAGTGTATCCCGTCAATCGTTCGTATCAAACGGATACAAATGCATATCGGCCTGTATCACATTGTATCGGCCGATACGCAGTGATACGGGCCGATATGCGCTACGCCCATTCTCCATAAAAAAGCAAATGAAGTGATTCGAAGTCGAGTCACCTCACACGCGTTTAGAAATCACTGTATTTCCAAACCAATAAGCCACACTTCATTTTGTGATATAAAGTAAAATAAAATAAATTTTATTAACATTTTTCTGTTCACATGCAATTTAAATAAAAAACACATATTTCTATTTAGCAACTCTAACAAAAAATTAAAAAATAATACTTAAAAATAGTATTTTATAAACTAATAGAATAAATAATGTATCAAATCCACATTTATATAAAAAAGATAATTTTTAATATCAAAAAATTTATAAAGTAGAATATTAATAATAGAATAATTATATTAATACTTAAAATTTATAAATTTGCACATGATATAAATCTTAAAATTTTTAGATACTTTTATTAGTTATTAACTAATATTTTAATTTACATTAATAAGTAATAACAAAATTGTTGGATTGAAGTCTTTGTATGTATGAGTATTCGGCTGATAAGAGTTCTTATTAGCCTATACTTAAGTTTAAGT